TTATGGTACAGGTTTTGGGTAGGTATATGATTATTGGGTACTTGGACCCTTATCCCTTTGTCAAATTTTGTTTTATAAGTTCTGGGGTCCCGGTGCGGGGTTTGTTGAGGAACGATGCTCTTCAAACGGGCTACAAGAAAGAGCTGGAGGACCGAGTTATCCAGGTGGAGGCAGCAAGGAATGCGTTGGAAGCCTGGTATGCAAGGCGTGTTGCTGAAGAGCTCATCGTTGACCACGAGCGAGAACTATACGATGATGCTATGAGGCAGACCGAGACGGCGCTTGTTTCGGCTCAGGGTACTATCAAAACTGTCAGGAAGGAGATTGTGCCTAGTCTGTGGTTGGAAACAGGCTTTCCAGTGGTCATATAAACATTCCAGCACACAGTGGTAGTAGGACTGAAGGCAGCTAAGTATAGGTAGGTGGGTGGGTAGGTAGGCAGGCAGGGAAGTACGTAGTTACATAATATTATTAATTATATAATTATAATGTCCCGTATGCTGTATATACTTGGATCTTGTGGGTACCGATTTAAGGAAGTGCCAGTATCGCACTGCAACTATCCCTTACCACCACCACTACCATTACCAAAACCGATATGTCATATGATTACGACTACATCTACCACTACCACTACCGCTACCATCGCGAAAATTACCACACTCCCGCAACCACTGACACTGCTGCTGCTGCTGGTGCTGCCAATGCTGCTGCTGTAATTGTAATAATTCTCCACTTCAATGGCCACATAACCGTGAAACTAGCGCCCCAAACCCTGCCCTCAAACCAGGCTCCTCCGAAGGAGCCGACAGCCAAGAAGGCTGCTGCCCGTAAACGATGATGTGAGCCTGCGACGTGCAATGCTGAGTGATCAATGCTTAAAGAGGTTCAGCTAGATTTAGGATCTTGGGCTTAGGAATATCAGGGCTGTGGACAGTGTTGCGCCCCAATGATAAGGGTCCAAGAGCTGAATGTATATTATATATCCCCTAAACCTATACGCGCTTCAACTCCTGTCTTACCCAAGCCTCAGGAAGGGGTCTATATAGGCTTGTTGGTGTACGGTTCTCAAATTCGTGATGAAGGCTTAGGGGCAACAATTTTGGGTGGGACTTAGGCTGTTATAAGGACGAACACCCCCGTAATATAATTAGCAACTTTGGTCTCGAATCCTGGGCATGCCACAAAGATTTACGTTGTGAGTGGTAACAGGGCGCTGTAATTATAGGCTACACATAACAGGAGGTACTGCATTGTGATCAGCAAGTTGGAGTGATGACTCCAGGTTTTGAGATTAGCTTCGAATCTGCAGTACCAGGATGATGGAAATCCATGGTGCTGCTGGAAGCGGGAGGGCTCAGTAGGGTGCCTATCGAAGCGCTGCGCTGATTTCCTACAGCTGGGGATGACCATGGGTATGTCTCATTTCCAGTGCTAGCGTACCTGTACATGTAGCTTATTAAACCCTAGTTATAAATCCTAATCCCAAATCCCTATATTAGAATTAATAATATTACCCAAAGACCTAATCCCAAAACCCTAATCCCAAAAAGCGAATCCCAAAGCCTTAATCCCAAAACCCTCATCCCAAAGCCCTAATCCCAAAGCCCTTATCCCAA